GGTCTTCCCCCAGTGCACCTCACCTCAGCAAATGGTACCTCCAGTCTTCCAGCTGCACGATCCATCCATGACAAACCTTTCCCCACCCTGTATCTAAGTCATCATCACATCTTGTCAATTCTTTCTACCTATGTGTTCCTCTAACCACACGGCCAACATTCACATTCAAGCTACCACCTTCTCTCTCATCTAAACCACAGTGCTAGCCTCCTCACTGGTTTCTCATGTCAATGGGCACACCCCTCCATTTCCCACACAGCAGCTGGAGTCATCCTTCTTTTTTTATTATGTTATGTTAATCACCATACATTACCTCATTAGTTTTGGAGTCATCTTTTTAAAATACATAGCTGGGGGTGCCTGGGTGGCTTAGACATTAAGCGTCTGCCTTCGGCTCAGGTCATGATCCCAGGGTCCTGGGATCGAGCCCCGCATCGGGCTCCCTGCTCAGTGGGAAGTCTGCTTCTCCCTCTCCCCCCTCTCCCACTCCCCCTGCTTGTGTTCCGTCTCTCGCTCTTGCTGTCTCTCTTTCAAATAAATAAATAAAATAGTATTTAAAAAAAAATAAAATAAAATACATAGTTGATCACTTCACTTGTTTGCTTCAAATCCTTCAATAGTTTCCCAGGGCTCCAGAGGTGAAAACCAAAATTCTTTAAATGACCTGGAAAGCCCTGCGTGATCTAGCTCTTGCCGACTTTCCCATCCAGAATTTACCACACATTCCCTTTTGCTCTCTGTTTTCCCTCCCACTGCCCTTCTCTCCATTTCCTACATACATCATGCATCCTTCTGCTTCAGGCCTGGCATCCACACGCTCTGTGTCTCTGTAGCTAAGAACGTGGTTCAAGTGTCAGACGTCTGGGTTAAAATTCCCAGCTGTACCCAAGCCTGGTTAAATGACCCTGGGAGTGACACTTCATCTCTCTCTGCCCCCATTTTTTCTTCTGTGAAATGAGGTTAATATTTACCTGTCAGTTTTTACAAGAATGAAATGAAATGATATGCATAAAGTATTAAAAATATAGTACCCAACTAGTGTTAGTTACCGCTACTATCATCCCCCATTCTCAGCCTAGTTAACACTTCTCTTATGTCAGATCTCAGCTCAAATGATCTAAGGGAGGTCTTCCTTGACAGCCCCCAACCAGATTATGACTCTCTGTTAGACTCTCACCTAGCATCCTGAAACTTTCATTCATTATAATTTGTGATTACATATCTAAGGGGTTATTTTATTAATGTCTGTCAACCCTACCAGAATATAAGCTCCAAGAAGATAGAGACTGTCCATGTTATTCACCATTAGACCCCCAGATCCCAGCATGGTGCCTGACACATAAGCCAGACAGTTTTTGTTTGTTTGTTTAAGATTTATTTATTTGAGAGAGAGAGAGTTCCAGGGAAGGGCAGAGGGAGAGAGAGAGAATCTCAAACAGACTCTGTGGAACGCAGAGCCTGAAACAGGGCTCAATCCCAGGACCTGGAGATCGTGACCTGAGCCAAAACCAAGAGTTGGACCCTCAACCTACTGTGAGGAAAAAGTTTTTAAAGGTAGTGGAGCCAATGCGTTCAAATCACTCAAGAAGATCGTGATCATAAAGAGTAAGGGCAAGACATGGAGGAGGACCAGGGTCTCTCACTTGTTTTTTAAGCTGGGATACTTTAGCATGTTCAAATGCTGATGGGAAGGAGCGAGAAGAGAGGGAACTCACCAGAATGACTGGGAGCCACGAGACTGCAGGAGGGGTTGGCACTTCGTGTAGAAGCCAAAAGAATCATTCTCAGGAGAGACACCTCTTCCATGGTACAGGAATGAGAGATGAACATTCGGCTACGTCTGTAGGTTTGGTGGCAGGCAGTGCTACCAAGACCTTTCCATGAATCTCGGTAACATAAGTAGCAAATCTGGATTCTGTGAGAAGCTCAGCACAGTTGGTGGATTTCATTCCATTCACTTTTGCAACTCACATAAAAAGGAAGCAGACTTTTTTTTCTTCATCATTGACTATACTGATGCACTACAGAGCAAAATAACAAGTTGCCAAAGCAACTGAAACCAGTGATTTCAGTGTTCTCTTTATCGAGCATGCTTCGTCCCCAAATTAGGAAATAGTATGGTAAAATGATAATGTGTAAAATAATAATGGCTGACACTGGTTGAGGGCTTACTAAGTGCCAGGCACCGTTCCAGTACTTTACCTGCAATAACTCATCTGATCCCCACCTTATGATATCATTTTGCAGGTGAGCAAACTGAATCCCAGAAAGGTTAAGTAACTTGCCCAAGGTCAACAGTAAGTAGGTGGCAAAACCACTTTTAAACCCAAAGAGTCTGACTCCAAAATTGTTGCCTTTAACCACTCTGTTATACTCTCTCTAGCAGAAGGGAAAGAACATACTGGGAATTGGAAGACCTGACGTCTCCACCATGAACTAACTCTGAACTTGGGTATTCACTTAGGTGTCTGAACATCAGTTTGCTCATCAAGGAAATGCGAATGATAATGTTTACCCTACAAGGCTTTCTAAAGGATTTTACGAAATGCTAAAAATGGGAAATACTATAGAAAAGATCTTATTAGTATGCTGCCCATAAGACCTAATACCCTTGTCTTCTAAACTGGGTCACAGTCCAATAGCTGTTGTTGAGACCCTTGGTTCCCATACCAGTACAGCAGCAGCTGGTTGGGTATTCTGGCTCCTTCGGGAGATCAGCTGATTCTCATCCCAACAGCTTTAACATCCCTAACCAAGTCTCTTTGATGACCAAAACACACCTCATTTCCCCCTTCCCCCTGAAGACACTCACTCCTACCCTTGGAAACAGTTGCAGCTTATGCCCTCACTTCTTTGATTCCATTGCTGGAAGGAGTGACTCTTTAAAAATAAGTAATAAATAGCCCAAATTGTAGCTACTGGTGAGGTACATCCCAGAAGATCAAGTTCCAGTTCGGTGGTGGAATCACTGTTCCAGTTTAGTGGTAGAATCAGACTATCAGAGCTAGAAGAGAGCTTCAGGGTCATCTTTTCGTGCAACTCCCTGATACCCCTCTCAACCCATTTTTAGACTGGGAAAACCAAGGCCAGGTAGGTGAGATGATAAAACCAGATAGGATTGGTAGCAGGGCTTTTTTTTTTTTTTTTCTTTTTCTTCCTTGAAAATGTTTTCAAATAAATTTAAAACAAATAATTTCACCTTGCCAAAATTATAACTGGAAAACACTTCAATCACAAATTTGTTTCACTATGTGTGCCCTTTCAGAAAGGAGCAAAATCCTACAACTCCATTACCCATAAATAAATAAAACCTTAAACCCAATAATTCATGCAAAGCCCATTCTTCACATTGCCCTTACTTGGCCATTTCAGGCATTTCCCTGTTGGAAATTGGCCCGCATCTTCAGGAACAGAATAATCTAATGGTTAAATTCTGATTGCTTTGTATGAAGCCCAATCTATTATTACTAGTTCATCTGCGAGCTTAGTCTCCTAGTCTGGAAGATCAGTACCTACCTCTTAGAGCTGGAAAGTGGGGTGGGAGGTCACATGGGATGATGCACTTTTAATACCCAGCTGACACTTTATAACTTTATTATTATTTGAGCATAATTCTTTTCTCTCTCAAGCAGATAGCAATTCACCTTGCTTAAGGACCTAAGACCTTCGACCACTCAGATGCTACCAAACCAAGGAGAAACCCAGCTGTGCCAGGCCTAGAAATGTCCACCCCCACCCCCACTCCCTTTTAAGACAGTGAGTAGGCCAGAATTCTCCTGGTTGATAAATGAGAGGAGCTGAGAAGGAGCAGAGAGAAGCTGCAGTGATGACTATTCCGAGAATCTGATCTGCGAGCAGGCGAATCTCCACCACGTATACCATGGAGACGCTTTGGGAAAGAGAGCCGGCCTACCTGCCTGAAGAAGGATGCTCGAGAGAGGGGCTGGATGAGAGAATTGCTTAAAGGGAGATGAACTGGAGGTGCCCAAAGAGGAAAATTTGAAAAGGAAAACAGAGGCCGAATTTTGGGAAACCTGGGCGGTGAGTGCCGTTAAAGGAAGGATTGCGTGTCGCGGGGATACAGATTTTGGAGAAAAAGAGGAGTAGGGACAAAGGTGGGGGTCCTCAAACTGCGGAGCCTGAGCCCCGCAAGCTGTGGGGGGTACCCAGATGGCCCAGGGTTGACCGGAAGGCGGCATTATGGGGGGGCACACATACGGAAAGTGGCGGGGGTCGGGAGCCGGTCCCAGAGCGGCCGCCGCGTTAGCCCCGGGGAAGGTCAGCGACCCGGGGCGGGGGAGTTGTGCGGAGAACTGCGAGGGGCCGCGGTTGCCATGGCGCCGGGCGGGGAGGGGGTGATTCGGGCCCCGCCCCGAGCCCCGCGGGGCCGCCGGCTCCAGATGGTCCCGGGCCTCCCGCGGGAGCCGGCAGCCTGCGGCAGGGGGAGGCTATTGTCCTCCTTCCGCGGCGCCGCAGTCCCGCCGCTCGCGCCCGCG